GTTCAGCTCGTAATGACCGCCATCTTCTCGATCCTTGGTTTAGTAGATCGATTTCAAGTACGATACTTGTATACCAGCTTTCTGATGTCGCCTTGTTGAAACGGCTGCCAATGTAAGTAGACTTTGGTCGTACGATTCCATACTTTGCCTCCCTCGTTTAATCCAACGCTCTCGACTGCTCGTAGCTACTAAAAGCCTGCGAATTACAGCCGTTTCATGCAGCTAGCTTCCGATCGGTGAGAACAGTTAATTTTCTTAGCTATATAGTTCGCTTGAAGAAGTTCCATGTATCAGCGACACCAATTGGCCTTCTTCGCGTGGAACAACAGTTTTCAGGTTTTCAGATTCGGGTTGTTTGTTTCCTTGTTTGTTTGTTTGACGTTTAGACTTAAATCATTCTGGAATCACTATGAACTTTCACTCTATGAGGAAGAACATGAACCATTTTCAAAATTGACTTCTACTACCAGCTGCTCACTCATTCTGTAATATTCACCGTCGTCAGTCAATCAGTTTATTTATTTTCTTCATGCATAGCTTGAATTTAGTTCTACCGAGAGTCTGAAATGAATAACTGTCAAAAACAGTTTGCTAGGGGAGAAAATTTCCGCAAGTGAGTGAGTGCTTAGCTAACGGCTGCGAAATAATTGCTCAAAATTGTAACTGTGAGCATAGAAATAAAGCCTTTTTAACCGAGAAGCCTAAGAACGAGGTCTGCAGTTGAGAAATTTTACTATTAAGTGAGATTCTAGCTCTCCAATGCGGACACTCGCTCAGAAGCATAGCTGTTTTCCAGTCTTCGTCAATCTGTTTGCGTGGCTGCACTCGTCCGGTAGTTCGATAGCCATCAGCTTAAATTTTATCTTTTGACAGTCGACTTGCGAGAGGTTCGGAACCACATTTATTGGGAGAGATGACAGAATTCTTTATAACTGTTGACACCACAGTGATCGTACCCCGCTGAAATTCGTGGAATATCGATATCGCCTAATATTGATCTGCATTCGCCTGGGATGCGGCCTGTAATTATACAATGGTGGAGAGAGGGTTGACAGGGATTTTGGGCTGAACAGACATGGCAGGACTTTGCCAATATGAGTGACTTCTTTATTCAGTATTGCCACACTTTTTATTGCGATAATCCTATTTTAGTTAAATAAAATAATGATTTGACTAACAATTATGTTTATATTGGTAGCGGTGAACAATAAAACGTTACAGAAAACAGTTTTAAACGGTAAAATGCTAAGTTATTTTTGTTGCAAGATTTCAAAAGATTTGGATAATTATGTTCAATATTAATTTTGGCTATGTTGGGAGATTTAACCATACGAATAACGGTTTAACCATATTTTTACTGATATCAATCTCAGGTCAATCACCAATTCGACCTTTGTGACGGACTCTAGTGGTTCAGAGAGAAATAAACTCTTTTTTATGGTCAAAAAATCTTACTATTTTACTCCATTATGTTTACATGAAAAGCCTAATATATACCCCTAACGCTTGTTATGTTGAAGCATTAGCGACGCCTCAATGTTATCCTCCATTGTTCTAGCTTGGTTATTGTAAAATGAGTATTGGAGTAACGAAAAAGGAAAAGAAAAAAAAAAAAAACACTCGCTCTGATGCAGCCGAAGAGTGTTCAATTTATAGCAAAACCTTTGGGCATGTGCTTTGT